TCTGTGTAGGAAAAATGTGGAGGAGCACCCTCTTGGGCGTACGCACTAAAAGAAGCGCCGACATCGCGTTAGATCATCATTTTTTAGTCGCTACATTTCGTTTAAAAATCTGTACGACTGGACAGTGGCGTACATTGAATTCATTGCCTAAACTCGATATTTCGAAACTCAATTCTAAAGACGTAAAAAACACATTCGTCAGCAAACTTAGTACCTCAATGGAACAGCTCCAAAGCCCAGCAGTGTCCGGCAACACTGAAAAAATTTGGCAGACAATTAAATCAGCATTTCTTAGAAACACAGAAGATGTCTTGGGTCATCGCCCCCGCAACAGTAAGCCGTGGATGTCAAAGTCTACCTGGTCTCTCATGCCGCAGAGATGCAAAGATCTCACGCGACGGGACAAAAATGGCCAACTTCTCACATCCACCGAAAACTAGCTTCAACGCTTCGCTGAACATTTCTCAGAAACTCTTTGTAACAATGATATCACCAACACCGTCACATCGACTGATCAAAACAACTTCTCCAGCTTAAGCAACCGCAGTATGTCTGTTATGAATAGAGTACCTGATGAAGAAGAAATTGTTCAAACTATAGGCAGATTAAGAACAATAAGGCGGCTGGTACAGATAATATCACTGCGGAACTGTTAAAAGCTTGTCCTTCGACTACCGCTAATATGTTTCAACCACTCTTGAAAAGCACATGGGAAGACAATCGTCTTCCAAACGATTGGCTGGAAGACTTGCTGACTGTATTATCAAAGAAAGGTGACCTGAGCCAATGTCGAAATTATAGACGCGTTATGTTACTATCGATCCCTTCGAAAATATTAACTCGTATTCTTCTGTCCCGCAACAACACTAAACTCGAAAACAGTATTCGCAGACAACAGGCAGGCTTTAGACAAAATCGATCGTGTGTGGACTAAATTAACACCCTCAGGATCATCGTCGAACAATGTGCAGAACGGCGGACAGCCATAAACATATTATTCATCGTCTACAGCTGCGCTTTCAACAGTGCCAATAGAGGCTGTATTTGAAACTCTCTCTTACAAAGGGGTTTTATACAAAACACAATATAATGACTTCAGGTGCAGGGTCCTTCTTAATGGGCAACCGTCAACCACCCTTGCCACTACTTCAGGTGTTCGCCAAGACTGTCTGATGTCACCTATTTTATTTTTAATTGTGTTAGATGACGTTCTTACTAAATTTATTCACCAATCACATCGGGGTATACGCTGGGAGCTTTCAAACCACATCGAGAATCTAGAATATACTGACGACATTTGCCTTCTCTCAACACTACAGAACGATATGCAAGATAAAATCAACGACTTAGTTCAAGAATCACTAAAAGTTGGTCTTATAGTGAACATGACAAAGAAGAAGGCAATGAAAATAAAGACTTTTGACCCTGCCAGCAAATTCAACCTGGACGATATAGAAATCGATAACGTCAACAGCTTCACATACCAAAGCCAAATCAACAAGGCATATTCCGCCTTTTCGTTACTGAATAAAGTTTGGAGCTCTTCAATACTTTCCCGGCACACCATGCTGCGGTTATTTAACAGTGATATTAAGAGCGTTCTGCTCTACGGCTGCAAAACCTGGCTTATCACTAACAACCTGATTCATTAACTGCAAACCTTTAAAAACAAATGCTTTAGGAGAATTCTGAAAATTTGGTGGCCCCGCACTATTAGAAATTCCGATTTATGGTCAACATGCTGCCAACTTCCTATGCCAAACGAACTAAAAAGCATAAATGGCAATGGATCGGGAACACTTTAAGAAAGGCACCAAATAAAATCTGCAAACAAGCATTAACATGGAAGCGAAGACTAGAGATATAAATCCAAGCAAGCGGAAAAACCTTTGGAGAAGTTAAAACCCTGGCAAGAAATCGTGACAGTTGGATAAAGTTCATTATAGCCCAATGTTTCCCTGGGAAATCAAAAAGAATGAATGAAAAAGGAATGAAAAAGAAATGTTACAGTATATACATTGTTATTGTAACGTTGTGCTGTTATATTTTTTAACAATTGGGTACGGGTCGAATTTTAGCGCCACATTCTGACAAATAATTTGACGATTAGGGGGGCGCTAGCCATTAATGTACATATAAATTATTAGAAATTAGTTTTTCGTGCATCTGAATTGACAAGAAAATTTCAATAATAAATTTCAATAATAAATTTCAATAATAATTATAATACTTTTAATACATATAATCTGTACAACATGTTTTAGTATAAATCAGCCATCAGCTGATTCTCAGCTGATTTGATTGAAGTAGTGAAGTGCTGCAAAAGTGATAATAAATATTCAGTACAACATATAATTTAAATTTCTCATATCCAATAGATATCAATACGCTAATATAGCTAACATAATACGCTACATATTGTTTTCTGATATCACGATATGTATCGTTAATAGTATGTTTAATATTAACTTATTAAAATAAATTCTTGAAATAGAATTTCGAGCAGGTATTTTCAGTCAAACTAAAATTTTATAAAATTCATGTATTATTTACAACAAAAACACAGCTATTTATTTTATATACAATCATTTAGTATGAACGAAACTACATTTTAATTGTAAAAAATCTGGCAACTTCTATTATCGAACAATACCTTTCAAAGAACGGAAACTCCATCCACTTCAAGCGTAACGAAGAGAAATTGTTTTTGAAAATTTATTTCTTATAACGTTTAGGCATATGTTTTGAATACATGTTCACGATTTACTCGTAGTAACTTTGAGTAAAACAGTGTGTAACAAAGTGCGTTCCACCAGCATACTTTCAAGTAAATGAGAATATTTGAGAGAGCATAACATCCCTGTCGAAATTTGAAAATACTACGTAGACTTTACTCGTACATTTTGTTTCGAGTAAAATTTGCATGATGTGTGAATCAGCTGTTTTGGTTTTGGTGAATTTAAATATTTGAATTGTTTATTTGCGCGGCACTTCATACAAAGCTGTTCCATGAAAATCTGTGTAAAGAGCGCACTGAGAGCACGCTCTCAGTATTACGCTCTCAGTTAACGCTCTACTTGTGTTTTACTTGAGTTTTACTATAAGTAGGTCGTGAGTGTTACTCAAAGTTACTACGAGTAGCTCGTGGAACAGACCTATTATTCCGGTAACCAAAGATACTACCAATTCACCAATTTGCTTTTTTATACAGGAGCACTTTTTTTGTATTATTCCATTGATAACTAAAACTGTTCTTGCAAGAATACTTGTTATAAATAGTTTATAGACTGTAAATTTTATATTTTTCGGAAACCGGCTTGAAAATACGTCTGCTCACTAGAAATGTTGACAGTATTTTCAACAATATGACATCAAAATTCCAAATGAAAATTGGTTGTTTGACGTTTTTTTTGTACAAAGATATGACCCCATTTTAAGGCATTTCAGTCGGAATGGAACCATTTTAAGTGCTAGTTTGACAGTATTATTATTTTATTAAACAGAAAATATTCTTTTATTGAGAATTACAATCAAAATATTTTAAAAAAATATCAAAAGTTTAGTTGAGGTTGATTTTCTGGATGAAGACATTCACCTATGGAAGAGACTTATGAAATGTATCCATAAAGCTGCAGAAAAAAGTGACATTAATTCAAATATCGATTTAGTTGAGTGGGAATTCTTGCAAAAATCGAACGATGATTTTATGCTATGTACAAAGATCTATGCTTCTTTTAATTTTAGAAAAGCATGATGATTGGAGCCTTTGGAAATTATAAATTCACATCACAAATTATTTTCGTTATATAGTCAATATTTTATAATTTGTTATATCTATTGTATAAGACATAATAGTTCTATCGAGTTCGGTCGTATTACACTATATCTTTTTTTAATAATGTCTCACGGTTTTATTGTATCTTTTTAAGTTATTCGTTTTACCTCTTCGCTTCTTTTCAGGTCTATATTTTCATAGTACCGATTTTATATACAAATGCATCTATGGAAAATATAAATCCTCACAGAAACTAGTTTTCTGTGAGGATTTATAAACCGTTAACGGCTAAATTAGTAGTGCTGCAGCTAAGAAATAATAATTAGCTTATTCATTCTGATACAGTTTCTCATAAGCTATCATAGCTATAAAAAATGTCACTTGAACCTACAGTATGTCTACATTATCACAATTAACTAAATAAGTGTGCAGCAATTAGTTTTCATACAAAATCTATACAAAAATAATTTATTAGAGTTTCAAATATTTTTTAAGCTGATCAAAGCTTTGAGTGTTTTGATATTAGAGTGTACTTTTGAATATAGTGTAGCGTTCCGCTCAAAAACCTTTGAACCCCATTCTAAAAACATAGAAATTTATCTGTGTTTTTGACCATACGGTGTTCTAGCACTTGCTTTTATATTTATTTGCATAAAGCAAAATGAAAATAATATGAAACATAAATGGATTTGCCATTCGAGTATGAAATATCATCGCAAATTTAAAGTGTTCGATTTAAATGTTTCAGTTCGAGTAAACTTGAACACTAAATTTTATATTCAAACACTAAATAAAATTTAGTATTTAAATTAAAACGCGTTATCGAATCTCAGAATGGATACGGGCACCTTGGGGAGATATGCAGATCTGAGGTCAATTATTGCTTAGTCTGATGAAGTGATAACCAATAATCCAGTCAAGGCGTTGAGAAAGGCTATGAAGAATCCTCACAGTTAATAGAGAGTAAAAGTGGCCAAGTGCACTGACTGAACTAGCCTCAATACAATAATTAAAACGTTATTTAGTGTTCGAGTAAAATTTGAATTTTATAACATACCATATATAAATTTATAATATATAGAATGTTGAGCTACTCGCAATCGTGTAAACAAAATTTTAAGTTATCAAGCAATATTTTTATTCTAAAGAGGCCTTAAATGCTCATTTACATAAAATGAAAAATCAAACTCAGCTATCATTTTTGACTTCAAAAATTAAACGATAGTTTTAGAAGAACGTCTGCAATTGCAATATAGTTTTACTTGCAGGCTCCAAAGATATTGAAAATCTTTTTTTTAAGTCTCTAAAGCATATATCGTAAACATAGAAAATGGATGAATGTAATGTCATTATTGACGAGTTGAAACCTACAGTGCTTTATATTTGCGGAAGTAGGTTTTTCTTTTTAAATTATATAAGTATTTTGTTATATTCTAAGTGATATGCAGAACTAGTAAAGATATAGTACAGAAAAGGAAAATATTTACTTCTCAATATTTGTATATTCATTTTAGTTTGTGGTTCTGATGTTGAACTACGTCCAACGGACCCTGTTCGCTGTCGTGAATGTGGTTACCGTGTTTTGTACAAAAAACGCATTAAAAATTGTAAGCACTTTTATTTTATATTTAAATTATTTTAGAAAAACATATAATTAATTTTAATGAAATTGTTTTAAAAATTTTAAATTTTAAAAAAAATAATAAAAGTTTGCGTTATATATATAACATATATAAGCTTTTGTTGATTTTGTGTTAATTATATTAACATTTCTTTATAGATATTTACGAGGCTCGCTAAAGTTGTTACATGGACATCATAGATTAAATACTTTCGTATTTATTACAAAATGTAGTACAATGTAGTACAGAACAACTGACAAATATTGCTTAATAAACTGAAATACCTATTTCATGATGTCTTTTTACTTAACACAATGTTATAACTAATAAAATATAATAATATAAGAATGTGTATTTCAATGTATGGATTGATCAGAACCTTGCTAAAGGTCACAGTAATTTTGATTTTCACATAGTCACATAGCCTATATTGAGAATATATCGAAAAGCTTCAAATTAATCATTGTAGAGATGTGAAAATATTGATGGTTAATTAATATCACATCACATTTTCGGTTCTATAGGGACTTGTTCCCAATGTCCCTATGCATGTACCAATACAAACTATGCCACATTTCTCTACATTCTGAGCAAAGTTAACATTAGTAAAATTCTTTAAAACAATCGGTTATCTTCTCCATTTTAGTAAATTATATCACATGGTATCACATTATACCACCACATCTTTTATGTTTTAGGAAAATATAAATACTGGAATACTAGAGTGGATTAATGTGAAACAGCGTCTTTTTCATTTTAGATTAGCTATTTCGAAATTTTCAATATATTTCGAAAACTTTTAAATTTAAATTTGTTTTTTGCGGATGTTTAGGCTTTTCATATATCTAGGTCTCTAATTGAAAAATGGTTTTCAGCCGAGAGAAATTGCTATTGGCGTGACAGCCGTTGTAACCGTCAGGCTAAAGAGCTAGTTCATCCCTATGGTTACGGTAAGGCATCCTTCTTCAGCAGAACAGAGTTCAGGTTGCTGGAGGATTATTTAACGGGTCACCATGGACTGCGTTATCACCTTAATAAAATGGGTCTGTCAAAAGAGATAGATTGTCGACTCTGCTTAGAAATGAGACTTTCAGTCACACTCTCTGTGACTGCCCTGCCTTGATCTGGGCCAGTAGGAGGTCACTGCGTGGAGAATTACTCTCCCCTCCTGCTATTAGAATGTCCTCAACGGTTGACATTCTGGCCTTCATTCGGAAGGCGGAATGTATTCTGTTCAGTTAGGGTCTGTTTGCAGCACAAAAGATCAATCTGGTCGAAGTGCTTCGCTCCATTGGGAGATAGTACCACGTTCATTCCTATTTCTATTTCTATTCCTATATATCAGTATTTTGTAATTAAAGTTAAGCTCGAATTGACAATGAATGAATCATTGAAGTTGATGAAATTTTAGCCTTAGCTATGTATTTGATCCATATTTTCTTCTTGTCAAAATGTGTACCCAAATATTTTACTTAATTTTACGTTGAGTAGTGTTACTTGACTAAGGATGCGAAAAACGTGGCCTATAGAAGGATCCTGTAGTTAGTAGCTAGGTGACGCGTGCACACACAACATCGTTAGATGAGATAGAAAGACAAGTATATCTTCAGATAGAAGAAATGGGATCGAGAAATGTTGTTGTTCGTCAGAATAATCAGTTAGCGTGAAATTTATAGTTTTATACGTATTTTTGCTTTTCTCTACCTCAGTTATTTAATTCAAAATTGCTTCGAAATCAGTTCTATTGTGATCAAATTTTTATTTCAGATACAAATTATTCCTTAAAATCAGAGATCTTAAGGAATAAGTAAGCAATTGAAAAAAATTATTTAAAGTAATTAAGGAATCAATAATCTAGGAAACTTTTCTGAAACTTTTAAGAAACGTCTCTTTCTTTGAACTTTCTATAAAGTGTTATTCTATTAATGATTGCTAATTCTGTTACTGAACTATCTATAGCAATGTAAAACAGTAAATACATTACGGTCCGTCAGAGCCATCGCGAGCATTACTGGCAGCAGTGGCATCATAGCTTTTTGGTGATTAAAATACATTTTAATAAAATGTATAGAGTTTATTTCATATGTATACATAAATATATATAGCTATATGTATATATGTGTATGTAAGTTATATATGATAGTCATGCAGTAGCAGTGGTTAAATTAAGCAGTCAAGTATAAGTCGGTCAAGCAGTTTTATAGTCAAGCAGTAATGGCAGTAGTAGTGAAGTCAGCAGTCGGCAGTTAAAGAGTGCGGTTGTGTATATTAATTGAAGCTTGTGTTTTACATGTATATCATTTTGCAACGTTCTTCTAGTGGCATCCAGACCATAAAAGACACCTTAACCATGACTTTGCTCCCCCTATGCTTAGCCACTGTAGTATCTGTAATAGGTTGTGATAAAATCAAGTGGGTATCCCTGTTTGGTAATATAATAATTAGAATGATCCTGGAAAGCACTCCTTTCATAACATTTAGTATATACCCGTATGTGCTTTTGAATGATTAGCAATTCCGTTCAGTTTTGTTTAGTGTATCGATTTTGTTGATTTACTGCACATGTAATGTATCTATTGGGGCTACATTTTGCGTATTAAGTGAAGTTTATGGTGAACGTAATAGACCTACTAAATTAACTATTCGTGATATTTTTAAAAAGTTCGAGACGAATGATAATGCTTGTGAGGTTAAAAATCAAACCCATCAAAAACGTAATTATTCTGTTGAAATGCTAAAAAGCGTCGATAAAATTCGCAAACAATCGATAAGACAAACATTCTCATCCATATCAGGATGTATATAACTCCGTTAACCCAACAGCTTGTATCATAGGATCACTTATTTCGAAAATATTTTGTTGATTGAACTTTAGAGAAGGTTAAACCAGATCAAATATTTTATGGAAAATAATTTTTAGAGAGGAATCTCATTTAGCATTTCTGGTCAACTAGCTTTGTAAATAAGTAAAGTTCTAGCAATAAGAGTGAAGGAGATTGGTGTAGCCTATATAGTAGTCTGAGGCCATATGATTAATGATTCTTCGTAGCATGTGTTAGATAGTTACAACTTAGAGAATACGTAATCTCAACAACTTTAATGGAATATATTTCGTGCTACTAATGATATATTAGGAGAATAGAGAGGAGTATAAATAGTGATTAGTTCTTTTTGGTTCACCCCTTAAGATATTAAAATACAAAAGAAGTTTTTGTTTTATATGTAGTTGTAATATTTCTAAATTACCTAACTAGCTTTTTTGACAGTTATATTTTTTATTTGTTATAATTTTTTTTATATTGTTGTTTAACTTATGATGTCGACATATGTACATTTAAATTAAAGTAGAAAGTTTGGTAAATTTGGAAACCACTAATTGAAAACATGACTTCATCAATTGAAGAATCTTCCTTGAATGAAGTTCGTCTTTCAGACAATAATGAATTATTTAAAGATGAAGTCCCAAAACCTGCATGTGCCACAAGGAAGGAAATATTAAGAGAACTCAAGAATGTATCAGATGAAATTTATGTAAATATTAATAATATATATATCGGAGCCACTAAGAGCGAAATGTCTTATATTATATATATTTCTAACATTAGGACAAGTTAACTGAAATAAATTTCGAAATCATAGACGAGCTTAACAATATCAGTAAAATGGAGAATAATAGTGACTTACATAATATAGCAAATTTTCAATGTCCTAGTGAATATGGTTCAACGGATATAGTAGAAAGTAAATATGTTTTCTTTACGTATTTTAATTGAATTTTTTTATGTCAATTAACCTCAAAAGTTTTGTTTTAGCTGGAAGTTTAGAACCACGTTAGCTTATTGTTCAAAGGCAAACTGAAGACAGCAATAAGGTATGGATAAAACAATTTTGTATTTACCTAAAAATACATATTACTGAGAACTATAAGGATATTTATGTATAAGGAAAAATATTTACTTGCTTTTTTTGTTTTGCTTTTTTTTGTAGTAATATTTCGTCCTCAACTAAACAAGAAAATGATTAAAGGATATTTGGAAAATAAATTAGCTATAGAATTAAAAGCCTGCAGTACCTAATGAATTACCTGAGACCATAAATACAGTTTGAAACAATATTAATTGCAATTATTTTTTAACAACTTTCTAAATAAATACATCTTTGGATTACACAAAAAATGTAGTATTATTATCAGTGTCAAAATTTACAGTATCAAATCGAGAGGACTGAGAACATCGGATTAATGAAATAGATTGTGGCGCGTCTGTACGAAATGGTGCGCCATCTTGTTAAGCCAGAAATGCTGTAGGTATACCATTTTCACGAACAATCACCATCAAGCATTTGGTTATCACAGCCCGGTAACGCACCTGATTGACGGTTGTTATTTTGCCATTAACGTTTTCAAAAAAGTATAATATGTTCCAATAATCATATTAACACAAAATTCCGCACTGTTACTTGTTTGGATGCTTAAGAATACTAACACTACCAGAAAACAAAAATCTTTTTTTTCCTTACATGTCACGTCTTCACTATTCAGAGACTGTTCAACTGAAATTTTTTAACGCTCTCGACTTGTCCATACTCTAAAGCAAAAATTTCATATTACTGACATTTCGAGCACGCCTTACCATTACTTATTCTCACCTTTCTCTTGCAGGTAACAGTGTTGGCAGGGTTTTTTAAGCCTCCTTTCGTCCTCAGCTAAACAAGAAAATTGATGATTGGTGCAGAAGATTTTTATGAGTTGGCTAGTAAAGCTTCGCTTAATTGGTCATCAGAAAGAATTGTCACAATTAATATTAAATTCATGACTTTAACTTTTTTATTTTTGGAAATAGTCAGAAGTCACATGTCGTTATGTCCGGAAAATATTGCGGTGGATTAAATTCTTCAATCCCTCACAACACATTTGAAGTTTTTCGTCTATTTAGCAGAGTGAACGGGCTCATTTTCGTGGTGCAGAAAATACCGATGTAGTTGCTTTTTTGGTGCTTTGCCAACAAATTTTCGAAAACTTATCAGTTTACCATTTATCAGTTACAGTCCATTCAGTTTTAAGATGACTAATAACTACAAGTTTCCCTATGGTGAAGTAAATAAACATCATTACATGTGTTGGTGATTTTTGTTTCCCGACTTTAATAGGTGAATTAGCATCTTCTAGATTCCATGTCATTGACTGCTGTTTTCGGTTCATACTTTGGGGTCATACTTTATTGAAGATACTGCGCCTATTTTTTTTTAATTCGTATATGTATATTTTTGAGCTTCAACTGAAGTTCAAGGAAACTATTGTACTCATTTCGTCGTGTATCCAAGAAGAATTCTTAATAAATGCGAATACATGTTGGCACTTAATCCCATTATTCTAGTTTATCAGCAATCACTTCCTATATCAATCTGTGGTCTTCATCAATATTGGACTTCATTTGCACTATTTATCGGTCGAATATTTCAGTAGACATTCGCGAAAATTGTTCTCCATACCAAAATAGCCGCTATGGAATTTTCAAAAGTACCTCGAGATAGTCACAGACCTTGGTGCATTCTCTCTATTATATGCTATTTCACACTTATATTAAATATTTCTTAAGGCTTCTCGTCCGTAAATAAAGATAAATTTCATCTCTTGCTGTGACGTCGGTAGATGTGCATCGACTCTTTGTCCTTAAGTTCGTATTTTTTTGCTACCATTTTGATTGCTTGACGTGAGACTTTAAATGAAATATCTTAATACTATGCCAAATTAACAGGCATTTTTTATTTATTAAAAACTTGTTCAGCGTTGCCAATGAAGTCAACTTCTGTTAGTTCCTTTGAAATCTACATGACGAGAACAAACTCGAAAGCATTTTATGTGTGAAATTTTTCATTGTTTCAAACAAAAGCCATTAGGAAAGATGCTGTTGAAGGTCTGCATCTACCTTTACACAATCGTATTTGTAATTGTTAATCGCTGACTAAATTGCCTTTGTAAATTTATACATAATAATATATAAATTATGCTGAACAGTTCTTAGAAATTTATTTAATCATCTTTTACTTTTGTACCTTGTCGTTTTCAGACCTTGTCGTATATATCCATAATTTCTTTGGCTTCGTCGTCTAAAAAGCAAAAACTTACATTGCTCTTTGCTTCATTTATGCACTGAGCTGCTTCCTTTTGTTGACTCATATTAACTAGCACTGCATTTAGGCCATCTCTTTGTGTACGTTCTGCAAGGATCTATGCAATTTCAAGGAATTTTCCTTGTTTGGAGGTTTTTCTAAAATTTCACACACAAATCTTCGCGGAAGCATTTATTCATTTGAACTTTGCATGGCGTACATAAAAAATAATATATTCATAACGTCTAAAATTTTTTAAAATATATTTTTTTCAAACTTATTTCTTTTTTTATCCAGTTTTGTTAAAAAATGTCACGAAAAATGTTAATTTGACGCCTAAGCAAATAAAACAAATCATTAAAATGTTTTAATGGACATGCAAATTATCTGATGAGATAAAAATATTTGGCATGGAAAAAAGGAAAATTTAAGGATAAAATAAAAATGAATTTAAGCCAATTAAAAGCTTCCATTAACATTCAGTTATGCTGAGTAAATATTACTAAGCTGAAAGCATTTTTTTTACAAAAATAGTTGAAATTTCCTTAAAAACATATTTAAAAATTTGTAAAAACATTAAATGCCCTGAAATTGTATTAAACATTTTTAAATAATATATAGACATTTATATATATATACGAGTATAATTTTATTTTATTTTTTATGAAATTTCATACTGACAATATAAAAGAGCACTATAATGAATATCTGCATTATTATATGTATTATTGTTATTTATTTGTTGTTTTAGCTTTATTTTTAATTCATTTTAAATTTATTGTATTACATAAAAGTTAATAAAACTTATATTATATATATAAAGCTTACAGCTATGGCATTTTAGCCACATGCCGGAAGTTTAGATTAATCTAATAACTAGTTTTTTTAAATATTAAATTGATATTATTACTTATAAACTCAATACAATATAAATATTAAATTAAATTACTATATCAAAAATAATAGATTTCAAGTAAATGAATTTAAAAATCTTCGTTAATAATATTTTGCCTATATTTTGATGCATTTTTAATAAAAGCCGCTAACAATCTCCAGTTGGGGCCATTCAGTATCAGTATGGTTTCTTATGGTTTCATCCAGCACAGGTTTACCGAAGTACAGCATTCTGTATTCTTTAAAAATTGGGCATTCGCCTACTAAGTGTACCACATCGCCTTTCAATTTAAGGTTGCATATCGTACATAGCATGTCTTAACTTTCGTACGGTACGTAGCACAATCGTAGGAGCTCGCCTCGGGTTTTGAAGATTGTCCTTATTGTTTTTAAGTCGTATTGCTCGTGAAAATAATTACTGACACCTAGATTATATTTCAGCTTACTGTATGCATCTCTCGCTATACTCTTTCTTGCCGCTTCTACAAAATTTCTACGTTCTTCAATAATTTTATGTATTATATACATATATAGGGCTTATCCCTAAGTTTACTAAAGTAATCGTAAATAAAATACACTTGAGATTGAGAAACCAATTTTAACTATTTTTAAAAAAACCAAAACAAGTGGGTGTGGCCTATAATGGGTGGGTTAGCAAAAAAAAAAAATTATTTTTTTCTTAATTATGAGTATATAAGTGTACAAGTAAAACGGCTTAAAAAAATTCCTCCTCCTTCTAGTACCGTCTGGTAATGGGTTAATAAGTTATATTTTTTTAAAAATATTTTAAAAATATTTAACACTATATTTGATTTAATTTTGAAATAATATCACCAAATACCGTTATGATGTAAAATTCTTCTCTCCTTTTTAAATTTAGTACTGAAAACTCTGTTGATATATGAAAATATGTACGGATTCGTTCTAGATGTGCCTTCTGCTCAAAAAGAACCTGGATTTTGTAAATAAAACACACAAATTTAAATTTTATTCCAAATTTATTTTATCTCTTTCAAAATATGCTCCTTCTGAAGCGATACACATATGTCAACGCTTAATCCAATCTTCCATACACTTTTCGTAGGCCCGTGAAAGTATGGCTTTTAGTTCCTTCGGCGAATTCAATTTGAGGCAATTTGAGTTTCGGGAACAGGCGAATATTGTGCCTGACCGATGACAGTGGTGTTGACAACAACACTGTACAACAAGAGCTGTGTGCGATGGAACATTGTCGTGGTAAAGAATCTAATTGTTAGCTTTCCACAAATCTGGTATTTTCTTACGGATGGACTCACGCAAATGCCACATAACGTCGAGGTAATATTCTTTGTTGATTGTATAACCTTTTGGCAAAAATTCGTAATGAATAACACCGCGGTAGTCGAAAAAAACAGTGAGCATAACTTTAATTTCCGAGCGACTTTGGCGCCTTTTATTGGGTTTTGGCTCGTTTTCGAAGCACCATTCGCTCAATTGTTGACTGGTTTCGACGTCATACTCATAAACGCATGTCTCATCACCTGTTATGATGCGTTTCATGAATATAGAGTCGTTTCCAGAACGAGAACGAGGCAAATTTATCTAAAAGATTTGCTGATTATCCAAATTCTGCAACAGGTCATTATGACTTTCCCACTCAGCATGTAGATATGCACCATCTATTGACAATATTCACAAAGAAGTTAGATTGCAAAAAGGCACCGGGATATGATAATATCTTACCCATCATAATAAAAAACTTACCCTTTTTGGCTCTAAATTTTATCACAAGACTTTTTAATGCCATTATTAAATTTGGCTTTTACCCAATAGAGAGAAAAACACCCATGATTATTATGATTCATAAATTTGAAAAATATCCCACGCTCGCCTCTTCATACAGATCAATAAGTTTACTGCCAAGCCGTCAAGCCTTTCTAAACTCTTTGAAAGAGCACTGCTTTTAAAGCTGAAACTATTCCTTGACGGTCAAAACATAATACCCTTCCACCAGTTTGGTTTTAGGGAAAAACATGAAACTATTGAGCAAGTGAATCGCATAACGAACAAATCGCTGTTACCTACAAACGTCCCCTCAGTTTTATAATCGTATCTACAGAACAGAAGTTTAAAAATCAAATGTAAATTATTTATTTCTATTAATTTCCTA